CAAACATGGTGGCGGGGGAATGCGAGGTAAACGATGGTCGAGCCGCCAGGGGGGCGCCAAGGGCCAAGACCGCTGGTAGGGATACTTTTTTTGAGCGGCGGCTCCAAAGGACAGATCCAGGAAGCGGGACGGTCTCGGCTGGGGCACAGGGCGAGATAATTGGCTACAACGGCGCATAGGCCGACGCAACAAATGCACGTGCCAGGGACAAAATGCCCCCCATTAAGATGCGGGCGACCCAGGGGCGGGGACGCAGGCATCGGAAGGAAACAGACGGAGGAGGAGTCGCACAGTGGCGCCAGCTCGAACCGTACTGACCAGCGCGTACTGGCGTGGGTCACGCTGCGCTGTGACAGCACGGAGGGCCACTCAGGCCGCGCCGTCCATCACGACGAGGAGGCGAAGGAGCGAGGAAAGGCGACGGGCGCGAGAGCACGCGCGGACAGAAGAGGGGGGGAACCGAGGAACGCCTCACTCACATGGACTCCTGGGAGTAGTCGGGCATAAGCGAACGACCTATGCATGGAGACGTCGTCCCTGTCTCGGAATCCACAAAATTCAACTGCCTGACTCTGAAGGCCGGGGGGATGCAGCTGCAAGCGTGGTCGAGCACCACGGACCACCCTGCGGGAAGGCCGAGAAGCACTGCCAAAGGATATACCCCTTGTGCAGTAGCAAGAGCTTGATGGCGGCGCCCGCCGTGAGAAGCGGGACGACCAAGTCGTCGGCGTACAACGCGGGCAGCTTATCCATCACGAGGGACAGGGGCACAAAGATGCGAGCGTCAACCGGGGTTGCAGGGGCGGACCTGATGGGGGAACAACAGCAGCCGGCCAAAGGGTGAACCACTTGTCGGGACAGCGCTCTCCCTCAGGTCTGGCCCCAGGTGGGGCGCCAAGGGGGGCGCCAAGGGCCAATACCGCTGGTGGGGATACGCGAAGCGTCAACAATTCATTGTTGGATGCCGATGGCAGCAGAAAAACATGTCCATGCCTATGTTTACAAGAAGCGCGCAGGGTCTCAGGCCATCGACAGACTCCTCCCGGCTGTAACAAGCGACCGGATGAACCAAGTCCTGCCCTTGCAGGGAGAGGTGTTAAATCTTTACGATCGTCGCAGTTGTTATTCATTCCACCGCTTGTCATGTTTTGTGTAGTGCCTAACACGATCGGAATTCATCACTGTTGTCTTTGCCCTTTTGTGTTCGGCTAGCCGGCATGTGTATGTGATTTCTTCCAAACATTATATTTGGTTGACGTTTCCAAACCTCAAGGACACGCAGTAGTGGACAAGTTGTGTGATTTAATGCCCACCTGGGTATCCAGTCATGCGGCAGATCTTTTTACCATAGTTGGATCATGTAATCTCAACTGCAGGTGTGTCCGCTTGCACCCACGCACCGTTGCTGCACTGTCAACAGAACGCGCACATGCCACATCAACATCCGACGACTCCGTACTCCGTAGGTTCATCGCCAAGAACGCTGTAACCATGTTAGACATATAAATGAACAATGGGCAACACAAATGTGAATCTACCACCGCCAAGAACTTTGCAATACAACTGGACATGTCAATGAACAAACGTCGGTGTCTTCCGGACGGGATACACGTACGGGAAATCAATGGGAACGCATCCATTGTCGTCCTCCTCTTCTTCTGCCTCCTCTTCCTTCTCTCGGCCGGGCCCAGGAACCCTGAATCCCGAAGCCACATGTTTATGTATATGTATATATATATGTATAGATCTATAGATACATATATGCATACACATACTGGACCCACATGCGAGCTTCGTACCCGCTTGGGTTCTAGTCCAAGACATTTGCCTCATGCCTGCTGGAGGTCCCTCGAAATCTGACGCGGCTCTTCCTGGGGGGGGTCTGTGGGGGTGTCTCTGGGAGCCTTTTGGCGGCTTCTGGGGGGCCTCCTACGGGATTCCTGAAGGGGGCCTCTTGGGGGCATCTTGAGTGTCCTGGGGGCGATCTTGGGGGGGAGGGCCGCCGGGAACCTGTAGACTTCCGTATCTCGGGCTCCTCTGGATCCTTTCTCGGAAGCATCTTGGGCCGTCGTGGGAGTATCTCAAGGCGTCCTGACGCAAACTACACGGGCGTCGGCCCAGGGATACCGCCAAGAGGGCCCACAATACCTAGAAGACGACGACGGCGACAAGGACACGAGCACAGAGGGGGGAACGACCGACGAGGCGATAAAGGAAAAGAAAGAAATGCAACGCCGCTGCTGGACCACGCGCCTTCCGTGACGCCGTTTCGCGAGTCTGGCGGAGGAGGAGGATGAGGAGGATGAAGAGGAGGAGGAGGAGGAGGAGGAGGAGGAGGAGGAGGAGGAGGAGGAGGACGAGGAGAAAGTAACGAATAGATGCGGACATGTAGGGAGAAGAAAAAAACGGAAACAAAACACGAAACTAACAACCGCGTGGTGGGCGGTCTTGAAGCCTTCTCGGGCCGTCTTGGGATGGTCTTGGGCCCCTCTTGGGTTGTCTTGGGCTGGTCTGGGGGGCGTCTTGGCCGTTTTGGGCTTCAGAAGCTCGGTCGACTATGTGTGCCTGTGGACGCCCTGTGTCTGTCTGTGTGTACGGGTGGTTGTGTATACATACAGGCATACATATGTGAACCAGCGTGGACCCCAAACAACAGGTTCTTGCAGACAATGCGGTGCAATATATGTTGTGCAAAGTATGCGATACAATCTATGTGCTGCAATCTATCTACGCGGTACAACCGATGTAATGCAATCTATGCGGTGCGCTCCATGTGGTGCAATCTACGCGGTGCAAGCAATGCAATGCAGTCTATGCTGTGCAATCTACGTGGTGCAATTTACGCGATACAACGTGCCTCTTGGGGGGCCCTCTTGGAACGCCCTTGGGGTTCATTGGGCGGTCATGGAAGCGTCAGTCTGAAGCAAATGTTGGCCGTCTTCTGGGTCTCTTGGCCCCGGCTTGGGGCGGCTTACGGTCGTCTTCGCCCATAGAAGGACTGATCGTGTCCCCCGTGTCCCCCGACAAAAACGAAAAACGGGTCGCAGACCATGGGGGCCAAATTCGGTTACCAGGGGGGTGGCCTCGTTTGTCATCGCCTGCTGGGGGAGGCCAGAGGGCCAACATTCATCGTTTTCTTTGTATGGGGCAGAAGCACATATGTATCATTTAACATTTCACCTTTCTGCTTTGCTGCCCGCCTCCCCCGCTGGGCGCCTGGGCCATCGCGGGCAGACCTGCAGGCGTCGTGGAAGCAAACCACGCCCATAAGAAGCCGCGGCCACACCGCACATACGCAGCTTATGGGCAGCAGAATGGTTCCGGCCGCCCTCGCAGGACGAGCCACATCACTGCTTCAACCACCTCGCTGCCGTCGGTCCAACCACCGAGCACCGCTCACACCACCGCCAGACGCCTCGCACGCGTCGCACACCGTCACGATGCAAGTCAATACGATCCGCATAGCTCCTCCTCCGTCCTCCTTTTGCTCCCCGTCTTTGTCATCCTCGTCCTCGTCCTTGAGAATTTTCAAGATTTCGCTGCGCTTAAGAAGCTCAGCAGCAGCATTCCCACATGACCAAATTCGGGCCTTGCGCTCCTCGGCAATGGATTCTGACTAAAGCCTTTCCGCAGACACCCCGGGCCGACCCGATCGTCCAAAGATGTGCCGAGGCGCCCAAGGCCCGTAGGCTGGGACTTGGATCAACCAAGACGTTTGCTCGCCTGCGGAAACGGCAGATCTGCGTCGAAACGCTGTCCATTCTTCGTCCTCGCCGGCGCGGATTTTCAAACTCCTGGTCTGCAGCGTCCTCGTTTCAGGGCACCGAGGCGTGCCAGACGAGGCGCAGCCAGACGGAGACCGCGCCTTTTCTCGGCCACGCAAGGGTCGGGGTCTGCGCGGGGCGGCCGCGGCGGTCGCCCGTTCGGCGAGCGCGGGGCCCGGTGTGAGACGGCAGTGCGGTGCGCAAGTGCCAGTGCGAGCGTGGGCCGGAGCCGCTTCCCTCTCTTCCTCCTTCTGGAACCTCTGAGTTTCTTCGGGAGTTTGGGGCAGGATCGCTCAGCACCGATTCGAGAACCCGCATCGGGTCCGCACGGCACCGAAATCGAATCGGATCGGCTGCGCCGGCGTGCACGAGAACACCAGGCGGGCATCGGGCCGCGGCGGATCGTCGGAATGTCGGCTGCGAGTCGGACCAAGCTGGCCAGAACCGATGCCGAACCGGCCCGATCGAGATGAGACGGGCCCTGTAACCTCGGGTGGGCTTCTCGTGGCAGCGGCTTGGTAAATTGCAGCGGTGGCGAACGCGCGCCGCGTCCGTCGCCCACAACAAGGGATCCCAACTTCGCGCTTCGCGCTGCGCGAAGTGCGAATAACCTCGCGCTCTCGGGCCGCCTCCCAGGGGAGAAAAGGAAGATGAGGAGGAATCGGAGCCGAACCGCGAAGCGCGAATAACTTCGCGCCCTCGAGGGCGCCCTTGTAAATTGCAGCGGTGGCGAACGACCGCCGCGTCCGTCGCCCAAAACGGGGTCGCTGCAGTGTGGCGACCTCGCAGCCCGAGAGACAAATGGGGCCGCTTTTCAGCGAGGGCCCCCCCCCTCCTCCTCCTCCTCCTCCTCCTCCTCCTCCTCCTCCTCCTCCTCCTCCTCCTCCTCCTCCTCCCCCACCCTCCTCCTCCTCCTCACCCACCCAGTGGGTGGTGACCAGGAGGGGCCCCAGGGCTGGTTTTCAGCGATAGTGCATGGGCCAGCTCGCAGAGGTCAAACAGTCCACCCCCATGAAAACCGCTCCGACGAGCGAAGCCGTTTAGCAAACGCACCCACGGGAGGGATCGAACAGGGCAGGGCTGTTAAGTAAACGCCCAGGGCCGTTTAGTAATCGTCGAATGTCGGGGTCTCGGTGTTTTTTTTTCCTTCCTTGAGCTAAGACCTCCAAGCTTGGGGCGGCTCCGGCCTCGACAGGGGGCAGCCCTCCAGCCCTCCGAGGGAGCCGCTCAGGTCAG